TTGGTGAAGATCGGTTCAGATATAGCTATACTGTTCATCCGATTTGTCATATTTGTTACCCACAGCCGTAATATGCACTCCGTAACAACGATATTCAGGGAAATATATCAAATACAGCTCAGAAATATCTTTGCCAAGTTTTATCGAGATCGGTTCAGATTTGGATATAGTTCCCATATATATATATATATTTTTATCCGATTTCAAATTAATTTCGCACCAAATGGGCAATACAAGTCCGAATTTAAAAGATACAAATGCTTCGGCATATTTAGTCCTTTGAACTTTAAATCATAATTATAATCATAGCGTGTATGATTGAATTCTCCCATAAAAACTTTTAATTGTTATGTGGAGCTCTACTAAATTAGCAAAGTGGTGTAGGGTATCATAAAGTCGGCCCCGACCTACTTTAAGACTTTCTTTACTGTTTTTTTTTTTTTTTTTTTTTTTTTTTTTTGTAGTAAAGCTTCAATAGATTTCTATCAAAGTTCTTCTAAGAAAGTTCTTTAAACTGTCGCCTGTCTACAAAAAAATGTCAAAGTATAATTTACAGAAAGTATTATCGAAGGCCTTGTCTTCATAGAAGACCTTTTTGGAGGCCTTCTATAGAACGATCTATTATATATTTTTAATTGACAGAAATCTCTAAAGGTCAAAAATTCATTTACTGATCTTCTAAGGAAGAAGACGGCTACCAGAAGGTATTTTATATTAAGTGAAAAAAATATCTGCAGTGGATAAAAGACCTTTTTAGGAAGAGAAACCCCTAACAGAGAAAGTAGAACCAGATCCTTCATCCAAAAATAGAAGATTTTTAAAAATCCTCTATAAAATCAACTAGTGTCCTTCAATGAAAAGAAAATCTCTCACAAGACTTCTCAAAGTTTATCTTGAAACCAAATCCTTCTAAAGAAGGAAAGCCTCGTAGAGGACCTCAAGAGATGAAATATATCTTTATGAGATCTTTAAGGAGACAGCCATTCTCTAGATCGAGTTTATTTTATAGCCAGAAGGTCCTCTAAAGATCTTCTAAATATAGATAGACTATAGACCTTGTAAAGGTCTTCTACAAACATGAAACCTAATGTTTTTTATAATGACCTAATACGGGAATTTTCAACACCCTGATATTATTGGTTGAGATTTTAACATAGGAAGTACTATTTTATTTCTGGTATTTGACATACGAGGTACTGTTTTATTGGGTACAGGCATAAAAAATAGGCACACGAATTCAAATCACATTTGACGTTTTGCTGCAAGATCTAATACTATCACCTGTATTTGAAAATTTTCTTCCCCCCATGTTTTAAACCACACCGATTAAAACATTTGGCCATGATCCTCAAAATAGTTTCAATTGGAAAGTGGCTTCATATGAGGGCTACTTTTTGCGGGAAGGCGTTCTACTAACTCTAAATAGTAGGTAAATTAACATTCGGGATATCCCAAGACGTAGACCGTAGATATTGATGGAAGTTTTCTATTTATTAAGAACCCAATATATGAAAATATTCCGAAGCAATTACGGAAATAAAAAAAATACTTGAAATCGGCGTATACCCCTATATGGGGGCAATACTTAGATGCGGACCATCACCTATATTTTAATGATTCTAGATGTAATCCAAAAATCTTTAATAAAACTATATCTTAAAATTTGCGAATTATAGAAGAAAATAGTGGCCGCCATCTACAGGTCTAATCTACTAACCGATTAATTTCACCTCCGCTTAGTATTTCCCATGTATGACATTTTTTTCAAAAAAATTTTTATGTAACTTATTGAGTTTACATATTTCTTTTCTTCAAAGACTCCTAATGAAAATTTATGTCAAATGTTTCTTTATTTGACACCTACTCCAAAAAATTTGGTATTGCGGATACGTGGAGACGACTTTTGATTTTTTTTTTTTTTTTTGACGAAAAGATGATTTTATCCAAAATTTTTGTAGATTAATTTGAGTTTTTTGATCCTGTTAAAAAGTAGTCATATTTTGAACGCTCGACGTTCAAAACCAAACCTAGTATTGTTGTCAGTAATATTGACGAAGACACTATATATCTAAAATGCGCGGCTTGCAAAGAATCTTAATTCGACAATTTTAAAAAGTGCACAAGAGGTCACGTTGGCTTGCAAACATTCGAAATGCCTTTTATTCCTTAAGCCATAAGGCCACAGAGGATACAGGACATTTGCAGTCGATCTAGGGGTGTCCGCACGATAACTCGATAGAGTATCCAATCAATTCTCAATCAATTTCTCAGTGGCCGAAAAATGGCTCGTGGGCTGAACATATCGCAATACTCCATTCGGCAAATATTGAAAAATGAGCTCGGGATAAAGCCATTGAAATTCCAAAAAGTGCAAGAACTTACACCGCAACAGAAAGAAAATAAACACAAAAGAGCTAAAGAGTTGCTTCGCTTGGCTGAATGATGTGAACTGCCGAATTTGGGTTTCTCCGATGAGAAAACATTCGTTGTGCAAAGAAAATGATCGTGTTTACTTGCCAAAGAAAATGTGCACCTTCGGTTGGCCACCAAAACTCAAGCGCCGACCATGGTGATGGTGTGGGCCGCCATAACAGCCGACGGTCGCTCTCCGCTCGTATCAATCGACTGAGGTCTTAGCAAGTTAGAAAATATCAGTCGGTTTTGCCGACAGATGTATACCCTCCACCAATGTCCGTTTATCAAAATCAAATTGAACTTGCGTTATGATTATTTCAATACTGACCCCGGATCGTACCGAAGGAGTAGGCCAATATTAAATATAAATATCACAACGTGCCAGATTTTGACAATATCGACTAATTCCTTCACTCTATATGAGATATGTGATTATTTTTTGTGTTAAATGTTTAATTTTAACCTTTTGTGAATAAGAAACCAGAAGGAGATCTCATCAGATCTCTTGATCTATTTATTAAAAGTTTTGGCACTTTGCAGGGGAGAAACCAAAAGGTGCGGACCCATATTCACAATAGGTCTTGTGTTAATGGAGATATTGGGATGTGCCGAGTTTTAAAAGGAACCAGCTACACATTCTGCGACTTTAAAGCTTCATGGTTTTTATACCCTACACCACAAGGTGGTCAGGGTATTATATATACCCCCTGTAGCCATATGGCTGAGGGTATAAAAAGAAAGGATAATCCGATTCTGCTCCAACTTTGCAAAGCCTAATATTTGCGTCAGTGCTAGGTCAGGTGTGAAAACGGACAATATCGGTCCACTCCATCAAGTACCTCCCCCACAAATGGTCAAAATTTTGAATAACAAAAATATACAACTCTCATAAAATTTGATCTTAGAGTTCGATTGTCTTCAAATTTCACACATCCTAATATTTATATTAACCCAAGGTCTGGTGTTAAGATGAAGAATATCGGTCCACTCCTTCTAGTACCTCCCCCACAAAAAGTCGAAATGTTCAAAAAATATATTTTTTGCACAGAACGAGAAAGGATAATCCGATTCTGCTCCAACTTTGAATTTCCTAAAATTTGCGTCAGTACTAAGTCAGGTGTGGAAATGGACAATATCGGTCCACTTCATCAAGTACCTCCCCCACAAATGGTCAAAATTTTGAATAATTATAACTCTCATAAAAAGTGATGTAAGAGCCCGATTGTCTTCAAATCTCACACAACAATATCGGTCCACTCCTTCTGGTACCTCCCCCACAAAAGGTCAAAATTTTCAAAATTTTTTTTTTATTTTTTTTTTTTTTTTTTGCACAGAAAGGGAAAGGATAATCCGATTCTGCTCCAACTGCGCAAATCCTAATATTTGCGTCAGTTCTAGGTCAGGTGTGAAAATGGACAATATCGGTCCACTCCATCAAGTACCTCCCCCACAAATGGTCAAAATTTTGAATAATTACAATCTCATTAAATGTGATGTAAAAGTCTGATTGTCTTCAAATTTCACACATCCTAATATTTGAATTAACCCATGGTCTGGTGTGAAGGGGGAAAACATCGGTCCACTCCTTCTGGTACCTCCCCCACAAAATATTGAAATTTTGAGTATCCATTAAGCTCATAAAACGCCAAATTAACATCCGATTCCATTTAGATTTGGCACATCTGTCGAAATATTTATTTCATATTTTTGGGTCCGATAGGAAATGGGCGATATTGGCCCATTCCTTCGGGATCTTCTCCATAGAGGGTCAAACGTTTGAATAATCTTAACACTAGTCAAAATATATTTACATAATCGAACATACGCTGAGGGTATATATCTGGCGGCAATACCGACTGATACTTTTTAACTTGTTTATACAGTAAAATATTTAGACCTTTTGTGGGGGAGGTACCAGTAGGAGTGGACCGATATTGCCCATCTCCAAACTCGATCTAAATTTGATAATAATATTACGATGTACCAAGTTTGCACCAACCAACAAGACAAACAGACGGGCGGACGGACGGACATCGCTAGATCGACTGCAAATATTTTGAAACCGATTTGGTCTAAAGAGACCTAGGGTCGAAAACTCTTTTTCCAGGAGGCACGATATGGACGTATTTAATGGTATATGTCCTCTCTAGCCATATGACCGAGGGTATAAAAAAATCTAAATTATTAATCTTTATTTGGAAGAGGCACATACTAGCCGTATCATCGGATGTATAGCCTATTAAACCACATGACTGCGGGTTTAAGTCTTTACGCGAAAGCTTTGACTCCAAGTGCCTTAAAAAGACAATTTTAATCGAAACCAAATTGTAAATGAAAAAAAAATGTCTTCCAAGTATTGAAATTGACTTTCGTTTTTTAAATCCACTTTTTCATAGTCGGAACCATGTTTTGGGAAATAATTTCCCCAAAAACACCACAAATGTCATGGGGAAACAAGAGTTATATATGTTTTTTTTTTATTAGTTGTCCCCCTTTGTTTTTGTTTTATATGTTTTCATATGTTATTGTTGTTGGTTTCGCATATGCTTTAGTTATTGTTATCGTTGTTTTTTTTTCCTGTTTACCTTAATTTTTCAGTTAAATGGCGACATTTGACACATGGCACTTGATTGGTGTGTAACAATCGCTCAACGGGTGAAAGATTATCCAACGACGATGATGGTGAGGACGGCGATGTTGACTTTGAATTTTTGGACTTATTGGCCGAATTGGAATTCAATGAGCTATCCGTGGTCTCACTGGAGGTATAATTCATTTGTTCTATGGGCCGTAGATCCAGGGCGGGACGTTTCGATTCAAGTTTGTTGGCCGATAATCCCCTCCGGGTGAAATATCCCAAATGATCTTCAACACTTGAGCTGGCATTGTAGAGGATACGCTCATATTCTGCCACATCACAGTCATTGAGGGTGACCTTCTGTTCGAAGACCCGCGGGGTGATGGCGGCCTGTTTGAGCAGTTCCATTCTTTTGTGACGCAATTCAATGGAAAATATAAGACGCACGCGTACAAAACGTTTACGATTCGAACGAGACGCCTGACTGTTTACCTTTTTCAAATGGCGTCGATTTTGTTTGCGTTCTAGTTTGTCTAGGCGATTTAGAGATTTGGCACTGATGTTCAGGGGACTTGCACTGTAATCGGTTAGGTTGTTTAGATCTAAGGCTGAACGATGTTTGCGCCAAGGCACCAAATCGAATTGGCCGAAACGCTTCTCACAATCACCCTGGCCCCCCGACCAGGGATAGAAATTCTCTTTGGTCTCGTTGAAGCACAAAATCCAATCGGAGGGTTTGGGGGAAGATTTCACAGGCGGCTTACACTCAATTGTATCGTAATGAGAATTTGAGGAGTTACTGAGCTTGGTAGGGCTGCGTTGAGGGGCTGCTTTAGATGGACCCGTAACTAGACGATTTTTGGCACTGGCCTGTGGCTTGTGGTATTTGTAACGCGGCACCAGCTTCTTTTCCAACATTCGGGTATCTAGACCGTATTCTTCGCGCAAAAGTTCAATTTCTTTGGAGGAGGCGGCATACTGCACACCATTCCAAATGGTAACCGGGGTAACACTGCTCGAATGGCTCGTTGTGGTTATTACACTTTCCCGGCGACGTCCAGACGACGACATATCTAATAGGCGAGCGTAATTATTTCAAGTTTTCCACAACAAAAACAACAACAACAATACCGAAACTGCTGTTCTAAACTCATTACTGTTTCCGGTTGTTGATTAAGTTTCCATTTTTTTTTATTTATTTTTTTTTTTTTGGGGCTTTTGGTTTTTGCCCTGCTGATGGTCTGATATTTGGAGTTGGTAATGTTTTTTTTTTTTTTTTTTTTGTTTTTCTGGTGCACCACCATTCACTTGTTCCACCACTTTATAAAAATTCACACACACACCAAAAACAAAAACACAAAAAGAGAAAGAACCAAAACGAAAAAATATCTATTTTTTTTTTTTTTGAAAATAAAATATAACCCGACGGCGTCGTTCGTCAAACGCGTCTGCTCGTTGTAACGTGTTTTCCGAAAATGATGACAAATGTTTGGAAAAAGGTATGCAAAACCTGGTAGTACCTCTGCTGCCACACAATGGTAACAATGACAGCAACAACAACAACAACAATCACACTGATAATGATGGCAACATTCAGTCCATCACTCAGCCAGCCATTCATTCAAAACTGAAACACAAAAATAACAATTGGCAAAAGCCCAACCAGCGGCAGCCGAAGCAGAAGCAGCAGCGATACCTTAAATTATGGCCCATTGTCTGAATTAATGTGGTGGCTGGATGTGTGTGAGAGATACCTACCACCGCACAACAACCACCATCATTATTAACTAGACAAAGTGACGAGCTGGCTGACTAACTGACTGTGGCTATCAGCAGCAGCAGCGGCATTGCCACTTGTTGCCCATATGCTGTTGGTGTTGTTATTGTTACTGGCTGCTCTTTGACTTGTTACCTCTATTATCTGCATATAAAGTCTCGCAGGGCAAACTGAGTTTGAGTCTAATTTTATGCCTTCAATTGCCTCTCCCGGCCTCTCGCAGAAGATGATAACTAAACTGTGTGCGTATGTTGTAATTTTTCACAACAAAAACAATAATATTTAAAACATATTAAAATATTTGTTTACCAACCCAGCGCACCCCGCTCGCATTTGAGTTTACTGCCAAAAATTTAATGAAGTTCAACAAGGTGTTAACAAGCCTTAATGGGCTTGAAAAACGTAGATTTCAATATTTTTTTACCTAATAGATTGGCGTAACTTTTTTTTGAAATTGCAACAAACGTGCAGTTATCTTGGGTAATACACGATAATTTTTAAAAACAAGGGGGGATAATTTTGGAGTAGTTATCTCAGATCTAATCCCCCAACCCAGTCAACGTTCACACTACAGCCTGTATGTAAAGGTAAGTGGAGAAAAATGGTTCTCATTACTTTTATATTACAAATCTTAAACTTCCATATTAACACAATCCCAGGCCTAATTTTTAAACCCCTTAGTTTACAGGGTGAGATGAAAAAACTGAAACCAACTTCAGACTGCTGTCATTTATAAGCTACTAGTCCGACAGCCGTTAAAATTATTCCAGTGACAGCTCATTATATTGTTTACAAGTGTACAAAAGCATTTTGGTGAGAATTTTCCGGAAAAAAATTATTCGTGTAGCGTAGCCCGACGCCAATTAAAGAAGCGACTTGATCGAAACCCGCATCGCAATGGCTCGTGAGCTGAACATATCGCAATATTCCATTCGGCAAATATTGAAAAATGAGCTCGGGGTAAAGCCATTAAAATTCCAAAAATTGCAAGAACTTACACCGCAACAGAAAGAAAATAGACTCAAAAGAGCTAAAGAGTTGCTTCGCTTGGCCGAAAGTGGTGAACTGCCGAATTTGGTTTTCTTCGATGAGAAAACATTCGTTGTCCAGCAGTTTTTAAACAAACAAAATGATCGCGTTAACCTGCTAAAGAGTTCAGCTGAAAATGTGCACCTTCGGTTGGCCATCAGAACTCAAGCGCCAGCCATGGTGATGGTGTGGGCCGCCATAACAGCCGATTGACGTTCTCCGCTCCTATTAATCGACCATGGCATCAGAATATATGCCGAATATTATCACGAAAATATTCTGGAGGGTGTATTAAAGCCTTGGGCACGCAAACATTTTTGCTGCAGACCTTGGAAATTCCAACAGGACTCAGCACCATTGCACTCAACACGCTCCACCCAATTCCAGCGCACAATGGCCACCAATCCGTTGGACTGTTATGTCTGGAGTATTTTGAAAAGCAAGGTTGGCACTAAAAAATACAAAATACTCAAGCAAACGCTTCGCCGGGAATGGGCCATTGGGAAGGAATTTGGAAATTAAAAAAAATACGTTGAAAAATGCTGTTAAAAATCTTAAATTTGGGTCTATACGAAGACGAAGTTTTGTCATAGGTCATTAAAATATTCAAATAAGAAACTTGAAAAAATTCCGGTGAATAATGTCACAAAAACATCAAAATACCGAATATTGGAAGGTACTGACATATGGGGGCTATACGAACACCTGGACCTAGATTTTCCGTCACAGGCTGTAGTACCTGTTACGAACTGGAAAGTACCAATAGCGAACTTCAAATGCCAGATTTGAAACAATTCCGATAAAAATTGTCCCTAAACTCATCAAATACCGAATATCGGGAGTTATTGATATATGAAGGCTATACGATGGGGTTAACCTGTGTACACATTTTTTATCTTTGGCTGCAGAACCCATTACGAACTTTAAATACAAAATTTTAAACAATTCCGCCAAAGAATGTCGCTAAAATCGTCAAAATATCAAATATCAGGAGATACCGTTGTACGGGAGCTATACGCAATCGTGGACCTACACAGACAATTCTCTGCTAGGGGTAAAGTACTCAAAACGAACTCCTTTTGTGGATTTTCAGACAATTCCATTGAAAAATCTGACTAAAATCATGAAAGCACCGAATATCGGGATGTACAATTATATTGGGGATATACAATATCGTGGACCTATATAAACAATTCTCTTCCAGGGGGCAAACTTTTCAGAATAAACACCTTGTGTTGAATTTCAGACAATTCCATTGGAAAATTATCCTAAAATCATCAAAATGCCGAATATCGGGGGTACGGTTATATGGGGCCCATATGATATCGTGGACCGATATAAACCACCTTTGAACTTGACCTGCCTGCACACAAAAGGCTGATCTGTGCAAAATTAACTTTTATCTCAATTCGCTTTGACTCTAGCGTGATTACAACCGGCGAAGAGACGGACAGGGCTAAATCGTCATGGAATTTTGCGCTGATGAATCTATAACCTCCATACAATGAATGATAGAGGGTATAAAAAACAAATGAGTGGGGGCAACAACATCTTCTTTTGAATTTATCCTAACTATAATGGTGGACCTATCGTCACAAAATTTTGCATTTCAGAGATTCTCAAAATATCAAAAATTTTGAAGTGCCGTCATATATGACCAATACATAATAGGGAACGTATTCTTACAAAATTATTCAGGGAGAAATTCTGTCAGCTCTGAACTCAAAACTTCAAATTCCTCCTGATTGGGTTTAAAATTGTGGTCGAAACCATCAAAATACCGAATCATACCAAATACTGGAGCAATATTGAACATTTTTAGCGTGAAGAGATGATATCTACTCATAACTCTAAAGTAACACGTGATTTGGTTTAAAATTGTGGTCAAAACATTAAAATACCGAAAATGAAGGAAGTAACGCTACTTTGTGGGCCATGTCGAAAAGTGGACTGATATGTCCCACTTTTAATACCAAACATACTTGGGTAATATGAATAATCGAGCAAAAATTCAAGGCGATAGAATCGTTTCCTGACTTAATCTCTAGTTTGAATAAAATTGTATTAAACTACTTTATATCATTCGAAAAGGGAAGAAGAGGGACATCGCTGAAACGAGATAGAATTTTATGCTGTTCAGGAATATATATGTTTTGTTGGGTCTAAATTGTATACGGCGAGAAGTTACAAACGGAATGACAAAATTAATATACCCTCCACACTATGTATGGTAGAGGGTATAAGAATAGCGGCTATAAACTTTATATTATTAATAGAAGAATAAACTAAACCATAAGCATTAGATAACTAAAACTTATTTACCTTAAAATATACTTAATACTTACAGTTTCCAACATCCTTATCAACAAATTCTTGTAGATTGGACCTTGAGAACGTGTGTTGAGAGCGAATTCCAAAGAGAAAATGAATTATTTGCAAGATAATAGTCAAACTAAAAGTTGCTCTCAGGAAAATTGTTTGACGTAATAGCCTGAAATTGATTTTTGCACGAGTCGTATGAATAAAATTCAAAATTGGTAGTAGAATTCGACGTAACTGCAACTGCAACAGGACAAAATGGAAAATGGCTTAGAAATTCGACATATTCCTCGTACAATTGTTTACAAATCTCCAAATTCGCAGGATAAAACCTTGTAGAAATTTCAGCCAATAAGTTTTTTTTTCAGGTTCAGTCGGCGCTTCAATGAGCTTTCGTTTTAATTGTTCATTTTCTTCGTTGTTTTCTTTAAATAATTTTCCCGGACACATAAAAGAACGGTTTAAAATATATGTATTCAATCAATAAATTGTTCAAATGTTTTGCAAAAAAAATCGATTTTTTCCAAAACAATCTTTTCTATGGTTTCTTTGTATCGATTTGTAAATATTTCAAAATCAAAACTCAAAGTGCTCACATAGTTCTTTTGTTATAGCAATAGATATGCCAAACGGCCCAAAAACGTACGTTAGCGACACTGGTTATACGCGTATTCTCTTTTCGAGAGAGATTTTTAATGTTGAATTCTCAGTTATGCTCATACACTCATTCTCAATTTTGTTATCCCCATTTTTAGTTATAACAATTGCATAAGATAATTAATGGTATAATCGATAGAGAAATGCAATTTCATAAAAGAAATGTGTGAAAAGCACATTTTTATACCCTCAGTCTTATGGCTAGAAAGGGTATATATCATTTGATACGGCCAAAACGTTCCTCATCGAAATGACGGTTTTAGACCTTAGGTCTCATTGGACCAAATCCGTTTCAGGACATTTGGAATCGATCTAGCTATCCGACCATCCGTCTGTCTGGTTGGCCAAACTTAGTATATCGTAATATTATTATCAAACTTAGAGCGAGTTCGGCGATGGGCAA